TGGATCGGGCTGGAATCGTGGCCTGGGGCAGGGCAGAGTCACGATCTGCTGCCCACACCCCTGCAATGAGTGTTGGTTCCATGGGCAGGGGCACGCAGGGAGCAGATTGCAGCTCTGCTGTGGGCCCCAACCCTCCACTGACACTGCCTGGTAATCCCGGGGTCTCCATGGAAACCTACTGGGACCCGTGTGAGCAGGGCATGTGGCTAGGTGGACAAGGTAGGGCCACAGGTAGTCAGGGACCTGTCTGAGAGCTGGAAAGGCAGGTTTGGGAGTGTAGGGGTAGTGACTTGCATAGGGTCTGCAGCAGATCTGCTCCCTGCCTGCCCCCGCCCACAGAACCAGTGCCTGTTGCAGCGACATGTGAACAGCAGATCGTGGTTCTGCCCTGGGCCTGGGCCCAATGTTGTTACTGTCCTGCAGTCCTGTTCCCATTTGCCTACCCTGCTTCCAGGCGCTGTTTCCCCACCATATGGCTGCACACCCCCCCTGCCTGTGCAGGTCCTGCCCCTGGCAGTGGGTGCAGGGTGGACAGGTATGGGTGCACAGGCAGCAGCAGCCGTAACTTGCTGCCACTACTGGGGCTGCTAGGAAGTGAGTCTGGCTGACACCCCACTTGTGTATAGCCAGTCCCACCACCCCCAATGCAGCTCAGCCTGCCCACAGAACCTGGGCTGGCGTGACTGAGGCCGGCATGACTGAGGGACCTGCCACAGGCCAGACAAAATTTTTTGGCAGGCCAGATTCGGCCCATGGGCTGTATTTTGTCCACCCTTGGCTTAGACATTGCCTTTGGGACATCGCATGCCAAGAGTAGGTAGGGGAACTCAGGAATAGACAACTTTTCAAATAGCAGGAGCAAATATCACTTTTCCTATAGCTGAAGCAGGCGTTTGGCCTTCAGTGTTTTTCTACAAAGTTGTGAGCATCGCCAACTTCTGTGCCTTTTACTGCGGAGGTATGGAGGTTAGTTCTCAGCCCCTCGTTGGTTTAAGGCATAGCTGAACGCACGTGTGAATCTTAAGTTTAAAGATAATTGTTTGCTAGCAAGACACTGCAAATGACAGGGAAAGTACAAGTCATTGCAAGGTGGGAAAAAGATGTGGCACTAACTAGACTTGCAACTTTCGTTTTTAACTTGGAAATGAGGAAATTCAGAAATTTCCACTGTTGGAGCCTCTCTTATCGGTCTTCTCATTCTTTTATGTTTTTAGCAGTTTACAGATCACTATACAATAAATTGATCCTGCATACAGGGTTCTTGTTGAAAGTCAAGATTTAACCTCTTTTTGGCCACAGTGGTGGCAAGTTTAAAGGGATTTGGTTGTAGTCTGTTGGGAGGGGTTGTAAGGCAGCTTTGCATGTAATAAACAGCATAGGTAATTCTTTGTAGAAAAATGAGGTGGTGTGTGGTTTACTCCTTCCCCACAGATTCTTTCTAGTTTGAATTGACTACATGGGCAAAACTGTGTTGTTCTAATGAAACATCTGTTCATCAGCTTTCTACATGAAAATGAAACTAGTTCAAAAGGCCTTAAAACGACTTAAGAATTATTTTGCAGCCACTTCAGTCATCTTTTAGCTTTAAAGCTGGCTGGCTGGCTCTCTTCTCCCCATCCCCAGTTACAGAGAGAATCAAAGCCTCCATAAGCCTTTCTGTTGTGGTTGTCCACCCCCAACAAGTTGAATGTCCTTTTTTTTTTTTTGGTACTGAGTTAAATTGACATATTGGGCCTTGGTTCTGAAGGGGGCGGGGGAGTGTTTTGTTTTGTTTTTCTACAAATGGCCAAAAACGTTCAACTGATTGTAAGTGAGGCATCTGTGCCAGAAATGGGAAGAGATTATGAAAGAAACCTGTATTCCTGTGCGTCTGGAAAGAAGGGTATGTATGCGGTGCCCTGTGTACTTGCTGCCCTCATCAGAATGCATGAACTTAATATCTATCGTTCTGCAGCTCTCTTTGTGCTCATCGCAGAAAAATTAAGAGCAGAGGAAAAATTTGAAAGCACTTAAATGACTATGGGCTTAAGTCTCTTTTGAAAACAGGGTCTTAAATGCTACTGACTTGGACTCTTTGGTGACTAAGGCACCTTTTGGCAACTTCACCAGGAGCCTGCTGTGTGTTCTGTCAGTATACCATTTATGCACAAAATGTCTCCTACCTCCCAGGTGCCACCAGCTGAGACCCTTCCTCAGGTGAAGAAGGAGAAGCACAGTACACAGGCTAAAAACAGAGCCAAGAGGAAACCTCCCAAAGGAATGTTTCTTTCTCAAGAGGACGTGGAGGCAGTCTCTGCCAATGCAACTGCGGCTACTACTGTACTTAGACAACTGGATATGGAATTAGTCTCTATAAAGCGACAGGTACAGATTGATCTGGTTACAACTCAGGGCTGTATTTATTTAAAATTATAACCTAAAGGGGGCTGCTGTCAGTCACTACCTGCATTTGTTCTCGGGGATTTGATGCTCAACTGTGATAGTCCATATCATGGTGTGACTTTAATTACCATATTTACTCAAATCCAAGATGACATGATTTTGTGCAGTCTTGCCTCCCTCCTAAGGAGGTGTGGTGGGGGAGGAAGCCTTGTTTTGGATTTGAGTATTGGTTTGGGCCATGCTTTGGCACCAGTTGGGGCTGAAGCTGTCACTGCTGGTATCGCTGCATGGCTGGGGCTCAGTGGCTTTTATGCGGTAAGTGAGGGGATGAGCAGCATGGATGGGGGTCATGGAGGAGATTGCATGTTGTGGAAGAGGGGGGAGCCATGAGGAAGATCCCTTGGGCTGTGCAGAGCATGAGGGAGACTACAGTGGCAGGGGAACTGCTGCCAAGGGCTGGCCAAGCCCAGGGCTAGGATCAGAAACACTGTGCTTCATGCCCAGGGGCTGGGGCTGGAGCTGGAGCCAAAGCCAGAACTGCCATATTGCAGTAAGTGGCAGCATAGGATGGGGGAGCAGACAGTGGAAGGTAGGGGAATTAAGTAGTGGGGGTCAGAGTGCTTCTCCCCTCTCCCCACATCTGCAATTGGAGAGTTATCTTAAATTTGCCCCAATAATTAGATTCTATGCATGGAAAATTACAACAAATGTATAATTAGGGAGTCTTATTATTAAGGAGTCATCTTAAATTTGAAGTAATCTTTGATTCAGGTAAATACAGTAATCTGCTGCCACCCTTGGTGTGTGAATAACTACACAGCATTGTCTGCTCTTATGGTTACAGAACAGCAAGAGAGGTTATAGCAAGTAGCTGCTGACTCTCATGACAACATTCATTAGCTCCTACTCTGTCTTGTAATCTTTTTTTTAAAAAAAAGCAAAAGCAGAACAGAAAACTCCTCCTTTACTTTGAATAGCATTCTTCTCCTTCCCACCCCTTTCCCCTACAATTCCTGGTTTACAGACTTTCTTCTTATTTTCCCATGCTATCTTTGCACTAGCCAGTCAGACCACAAAAGGATAGCATCATGCTTTCCTTCTCCCACCATCACCACCACTCACGCTGTAGCTGTTAATCAGCTGTTGTCAATTCCTAAAGCTTTGTCCCATCAGTACAGAGCTTAGCTCAGGGGCTGGCAATTATTTTGGCTGGAGGGCCACTTAACGAGTTTTGGTGAGCTGTCAAGGGCCGGACACACAGTCTTTTAGAAGATATAATTTTAACAAATTATGGGTAGAAAAAACAAATCGTATACTAAAAATCAGGCATCTACTATAACATTTTAATTTTTATTTTAAAAAATGTTTTTTGTCCTGATTGGTTTTTAAGTAGTGTGTACAGAGGTAATTGCATAATGGCTCAACAAAGTCTTACTTGTTCATACTGCGTGGGGGTGGGGGGAGTGCATGTAGGGAGGGCTAGGCCCTGGGAGCTGGCCCAGGGTAAGGCAAGGGGTGGGAGCAGGGGACAAATGCAGCAGAACTAGCCCTGGCAATGCAGGTGCAGATGCATTCTGCCCTTCCCCCATCCAGCCTGCAGCTGCCCCCACAGCACACTGGATGGGGGTAAGGTCTGCCTGGGGCAGCCTGTGCCCACTGGCCCTGGCCCCAGCCCCAGTCAGTACACACAGCTTTTCTGGCAGGGCTGCTCACAGTGCAGCTGCCTAGGAACTGCTCAGCTCCTGCCACCTCCAGTGGATCCTTCTCCTCCTCTTCCTGCTGCATTGTTCCAGGCCCAGGGAAAGCTGCAGCCCAGTGGCTCCTGCCCCAAAGGACAGAGCTCCAGCTCATGGCCTCCTTCCACCCCTTTGGCCACCCGCAGGTGACTGCTCATTAGGTTGGGTGGGCAGAGTGGGTGGAAGATGGCCTGGACCTGGAGCCTTGCACCCTGGGGCAGCACTGCAGGGGCAGGAGGAGGAGCTGCTTGAGGCAGGAGGAGCTGAGCAGTAACATGGCTGGGAAGCTGTGCGCGCTGCCTGGGGCCAGCAGGTGCAGGTGGGAATGCAGCACAGGTTGCCCCACGTGGGCACAGGCAGGGCTCAGCCCCATGGGCTGTATTTTGCCCATTTCCTGG